TTTCCCAAGACCTCCAACTTTCTACGCTTTTGTATTCGAGTGGTAGCTAAGTTTATGTTTATGTTATTTTCCATGCTATATAATGTTATTTTCCACACCTCTACATATAAATGATTTAAAAGACTATAGGTAACGCCACTTTGTTCCAGATCTTTCGGGGTGACGCTTTTAAAGTGCTGGCAGAATTGCCAAAAATTTGAAATCTTTGGGTTTTAAATGTCTACCAATCTATAAAATATTTTACAGAAAGCGTAGTAGTTGGTAGGCCTGTAATTGCAATAAATTACTTATATGTTAAAAAATCAAAATAGTTAATAGTTTAATAATCAAAAAAATATTTAAGAGAAATATAATAAAGATTTCTGTGATTTTAGTGATTGCCGATGTTTTGTTGGAGTATGTTAAGAGAAAAATAGATCAAAATTATATGATTCTAGTGAAAGCCTATGTTTTCATGAAGAATGATGAGAGAAAAATAGTGATTTAAAATCATATGATTTTAGTGATTGCCTATGTTTTAATGGAGAATATTAAGAAAATAAAGTTTAAAATTATGTGATTTTAGTGATTGCCTATGTTTTGACGGAGAATGTTATGGGAAAATAGTTTAAATTTTTTGATTTTAGTGATTGCCTATGTTTTGATGGAGAATGTTTAAAAATAATTTAAAACTATATGATTTTAGTGATTGCCTATGTTTTGATGGAGAATGTTAAGAGAAAAATAATTTAAAATTCTGTGATTTTAGTGATTGCCTATGTTTAAATGGAGGAAGTGACTCAGAATGCGGAAGATCAGCAACACCGGATGCAGAACGATTATGGAGATGGAATCGATATTCATCCATGACAGAGGTATCATTGCAATACTTATCTATATATTTATTGAACAAATTCTAAATAAGATTCTGTTATGAGTTTAACCAATTTGTGCTTCGCTTCCCTTTAAAGCGATGGCTTCTTTTTTGATAAAAGGAGTGAAATTGGTCGCAGTTTTATTACTAGAATTTATTTTGAAAAAATAAGATAATTCTATCTAAAATTATGTATTAATTATAAAACCATTTCTACTTGGTTAAGAAGTTGAAGCACAGTGTGTTTTAAAATCTAAATTGCTAGATAACAGAATGAAATAGCTATATGGCTCAAACAAATATGTACTTCCACTATATTTATAAAAGTGTTTTTTTAATTTTATGTATAGGGCATTTTTTGTGTCTGAGGATTAATGGCAGGATTCACATAAGCCATAAAAATTTAAAAGTGGTAGTAAATTTACATCAAAGCAAATAGAAATTTCCTTTCTTAAGATCCTACCTTAACATTTAACCCTTTTGAAGGCCGTGGTAAGTATACTTACCACCACGTTTTACCACATCCCT